CAAAAGTCAGCTCACAACGGGGCTTAAAAGCTAAGTGCATGCACAGGTATTTTTCTGTACTTGTACAGGTGAAACTCGAAAAATTAGAATATCGTGCAAAAGTTCATTTATTTCAGTAATGCAACTTAAAAGGTGAAACTAATATATGAGATAGACTCATTACATGCAAAGCAAGATAGTTCAAGCCGTGATTTGTCATAATTGTGATGATTATGGCTTGCAGCTCATGAAAACTTCAAATCCACAATCTCAGAAAATTAGAATATTGTGAAAAGGTGGAATATTCTCAGCTCAAAGTGTCCCACTCTAATCAGCTAATTAAGCCATAACACCTGCAAAGGGTTCCTGAGCCTTTAAATGGTCTCTCAGTCTGGTTCAGTAGGAATCACAATCATGGGAAAGACTGCTGACCTGACAGTTGTGCAGAAAACCATCACTGACACCCTCCATAAGGAGGGAAAGCCTCAAAAGGTAATTGCAATTGAAGTTGGATGTTCCCAAAGTGCTGTATCAAAGCACATTAATAGAAAGTTATGTGGAAGGGAAAAGTGTGGAGGGAAAAGGTGCACAAGCAGCAGGGATGACCACAGCCTGGAGAGGATTGTCAGGAAAAGGCCATTGAAAAGTGTTGGGGACTTTCACAAGGAGTGGACTGAGGCTGGAGTCAGTGCATCAAGAGCCACCACACACAGACGGATCCTGGACATGGGCTTCAAATGTCGTATTCCTCTTGTCAAGCCACTCCTGAACAACAAACAAACAACGTCAGACCTGGGCTAAAGAAAAACAGACCTGGTCTGTTGTCAGTGGTCCAAAGTCCTCTTCTCTGATGAGAGCAACGTTTGCAGAGTATGGAGGAAGAATGGAGAGGCACACACTACAAGATGCTTGAAGTCCAGTGTGAAGTTTCCACAGTCTGTGTTGATTTGGGGAGCCATGTCATCTGCTGGTGTTGGTCCATTGTGCTTCATTAAGTCCAGGGTCAACGCAGACGTCTGCCAGGAGATTTTGGAGCACTTCATGCTTCCTTCCGCAGACAAGCTTTATGGGGATGCTGACTTCATTTTTCAGCAGGACATGGCACCTGCCCACACTGCCAAAAGCACCAAAACCTGGCTCAATGACCGTGGGATTACTGTGCTTGATTGGCCAGCAAACTCGCCTGACCTGAACCCCATAGAGAATCTATGGGGCATTGCCAAGAGAAAGATGAGAGACATGAGACCGAACAATGCAGAAGAGCTGAAGGCCGCTATTGAACCATCCTGGTCTTCCATAACACCTCAGCAGTGCCACAGGCTGATAGCTTCCATGCCACGCCCCATTGAGGCAGTAATTGCTGCAAAAGGGGCCCAAACCAAGTACTGAGTACATATGCATGCTTATACTTTTCAGAGGTCCGATATTGTTCTATGTACAATCCTTGTTTTATTGATTGCATGTAATATTCTAATTTTCTGAGATTGTGGATTTGGGGTTTTCATGAGCTGTAAGCCATAATCATCACAATTATGACAAAATCGCGGCTTGAACTATCTTGCTTTGCATGTAATGAGTCTATTTCATATATTAGTTTCACCTTTTAAGTTGCATTACTGAAATAAATGAACTTTTGCACGATATTCAAATTTTTCGAGTTTCACCTGTAGATTTTTCAACCAGTTCCCACTTTGCCACTGCATATAAACGGCCACGTGGGAGCTTCAATCGTTCTGAGTGGACGTTCTGGAACGTCCCTCAGAATATGTGCACAAGCGCGGCCTCGTGACCGTGCAGCTGCACCCTCACAGTGTTCCTGTGTCCCTCGGACACAGCTCAACACCGCTCGGCAGGAGAGCTCTCTGATTGGCCCTTCTGATCACATGACGGCTGTGTCCAATCACAGCTGTCATATGATGTCAACAAAGCCGCCATTCAGTGGAACGGCTCTGCCTCTTCTCACCCAGAGCCCGTGGGTGAGGAGACGCAGAGTCAATCAGTGAGTACACACAAGCACATCGCCCACACATCACCCTGTCACAGTACCAGTGATCCACATCTGTGATCCACATCTGTCACAGTACCAGTTATCCACATCTGTGATCCACATCTGTCACAATACCAGTAATCCACATTTGTCACAGTAACCATGATCCATATCTCTCACAGTACCAGTGATCCACATCTGTGATTCACATCTGTCACAGTGCCAGTGATCCACATCTGTCACAGTACCCGTAATCCATATCTGTCACAGTGCCAGTGATCTACATCTGTCACAGTACCCATAAGCCACATCTGTCACAATGCCAGTGATCTACATCTGTCACAGTACCCATGATCCACATCTGTCACAGTACCAGTGATCAACATATGTGATCCACATCTGTCACCGTACCCGTGATCCACATCTGTCACCGTACCTGTGATCCACATCTGTGATCCACATCTGTCACCGTACCTGTGATCCACATCTGTCACCGTACCCGTGATCCACATCTGTCACAGTACCTGTGATGCACATCTGTGTTCCACCTGTGTTCCACATCTGTCAAAGTGCCAGTGATCCACATCTGTCACGGTACCCATGATCCACATCTGTCACAGTACCCATGATCCATATCTGTCACAGTACCCGTGATCCATATCTGTGATCCACATCTGTCACAGTACCTGTGATCCACATCTGTGATCCACATCTGTCACAGTGCCAGTGATCCACATATGTCACACAGTTTCAGAAACCCACATCCGTCATGGTGTACCAGTGGTCATCCACATCTGTACTAGTGATCCACATCTGTCATGGTGTACCAGTGTAAACTTCACATCTGCACCAGTGATCCACATCTGTCACAGTGTTCCAGTGGTCATCCACTTCTGTATCAGTGATCAACATCTGTCATGGTCTAGCAGGGTCAAATCCACATCTATTACAGTTTACCAGTGCTCAATATCTGTCACAGTGTACCAGTGTCAAATCAACATCTGTACCAATGATAAACATTTATACCAGTGAACATCAAAATGTCTAAAAAAATTATACACCAGCGAGGAGGCTTTCCAGATACTGAGTATGACGGATGAGAGTAGCGGGGAACTCTCTTTGTCAGACTCAGATTCTGAGTATGAGCTAATTGAAAGCAATGGGTCAGCAACAGATTCTGAGCTGGAGAGAGTCCAAACAAAGAGGTTCAGGAGATCTGAGGAGGAGCAGACATCCACCAGTAGCGCAGTGGGGAGTACAAGCAGCGCAGCACTTCCAGAAGAAAGGCAGGCATCCAAGGGTAATTCCATTGTCCTGGTGCTCCAGGGCTTTCAAAACTGTGATAGGTAGTCAGGAAATGAGATGTGTAATTTATTCCTCCAGAACGCCTGTAGGTCCTACTTGGATGTTGGGCCTTTGTATGTGGCCAGGCTGTAGAAAACTTACACATGTGGTATCCCCATACTCAGGAGGAGCAGCAGAATGTATTTTGGGGTGTAATTTTTGGTATGTACATGCTATGTGCTAGAAATATCTTATAAATAGACAACTTTGTGTAAAAAAGAAATACATTTTCATTTTCTTTCCACATTTTCTGAAAACTTGTGGAAAAAAAATGACATTTTCAAAAGACTCATTATGCCAAGTAGAATATACATTGCGATGTTTGCTTTTCAAAATGAAGTCATTTTGTGGGTAATTCCATTTCCTGGTGCTCCAGGGCCTTCAAAATTGTGATAGGTAGTCAAGAATTGAGATGTGTACTTTATGCCTCCAGAACATCTGTAGGTCCTACTTGGATGTTGGGCCTCTGCATGTGGCCAGGCTGTGGAAAAGTCTTACATATGTGGTATCCCCATACTCAGGAGGAGTAACAGAATGTGTTTTGGGGTGAAGCTGTTAATATAACAGTTGTGTGAAAAAAAAACATTTTATTTACTCTCTTCATTTTCCAAAGAATTGTGGGAAAAAAATTACAGGTTCAAAAAACTCACCATGCATCTTAATAAATACCTTGGAATGTCTACTTTCCAAAAAGGGGTCATTTTAGGGGTATTTGTACTGTCCTGGCTTGTGTCTCAAGAAATGAGATGAGGCCATCAGTACATCAGGTGTGTTACATTTTCAATGATCGGTACCATAGCTTGAAGACAGTATAACTTCCACACAGACCCAAATAATACACACTGATTGGGATTATTTTTACCAAAGCAATGTAGCCGTATGTATTCTGTCCCAAATTTATGAAGAAAAATTACTTATTTGCAAAATTGTATAACAGAAACGAAGAAAAAATGCATGTTTTTTTCACAAATTTTTCTGTCTTTTTTAATTTACAGCGCAAAAAATAAAAAAAACCCAGTGCTAATTAAATACCACAAAAAGAAAGCTCTATTTGTGTGAAAAAAGAATGAAAATTTAATTTGGGTACAATGTTGCATAACTGAGTAATTATCATTCAAAGTGTGAGAGCGCTGAAAACTGAAAATTGGTCTGGGCAGGAAGGGGGTAAAAGTGGCCAGTACTGAGGTGGTTAACTAGCGGAGTACATTGGTAGTGCTACACATGCTTAACCACTTGCCCTCCAGAGAATTTACCCCATCTTCCTGAACAGGCCATTTTTTGTGTTATGGCTCTGAGTTACTTTAAATGACTATTGCGTAATCATGCAACACACTGCACCCAAATTAAATGTATGTCCTTTTTTCCCCATGAATTGAGATTTCGGTGGTATTTGATAGCCTGTGCATTTTTTATTTTTTGCGGTATAAAAAAAAGACAGACAATTTTGAGAAAAAAAACAATATTTTGGACTTTTTGCTTTTAAACATGTCCAGTAAAAAATTTTTAAAAAATCAAATTTCGTCATAACTTTAGGCCAAAATGTATTCTGCTACATGTCTTTGCTAAAAAAATCCCATAATGTGTAAAATAATTGGTTTACATGAACGTTATAGCGTTTACAAATGGAGGAATATATACTGGGATTTTTTTTTTCTAATAATGGCGGCAATCAGCGAATTATAGTAAGACTGTGGGACTGCGACAGGCATTCTGACAATGGGGGGAACTGACTTGGTGTCACTGACATCCCCAGTGACACCAATAGAGTGATCAGTGCAAAAAAAAGCACTGACACTACTAATGGCACATGACAGGAAGGGGTTAACATGTGGGGCGATCAAAGGGTTAACTGTGTGCTGTTTTATTCTGTGCTGTGTCCGTGTGCTTCACTGTAAGCATACTGCACACAAAACTGTGTGCTCAAGCTGACAGGGAGGAGAACTGTATTGTTTAGATGCTCATGAATCACCGTTCAGGACCTGGTGATTGACAGCCACGGCCGTGAATGGTGGAAATGCAAAATCACGAATATATACATGATTTTGCGCACCCATGTCGCCCTGTAGCAGTATATCTGCTATAGGGCGGTCAGGAAGTGGTTAACTAGGTGAAGACATTGGGAGTGCTACACATGCTTAACCACAAATCCCTCCAGAGAATATACCCCCTTCCTGACCAGGCCATTTTTTCCCACGGATAGAGCTTTCTTTAGGTGGTATTTTATTGCTTGTGTGTCTTTCATTTTTTGTGCTATAAAAAAAAAGAGCAACAATTTTGAAAAAAAAAAACAAATATTTTTGACTTTTTGCTATTAAACATGTCTAGTAAAAAATTAAAACACAATTTTGTCATAAATTTAGGCTAAAATGTATTCTGCTACATATCTTTGCTAAAAAGAAATCACTATACGTGTAAATTAATTGGTTTACGTAAAAGTTATAGCATTTACAAATGGTGGTTTATATACTGGAATTCTTTTTTAACTATAATGGCGGTGATCAGCAACTTATAGAGGGACTGCGGAATTGCGGCAGGCATTCTGACACTGGGGGAACTGACTTGGTATCACTGACATCCCCAGTGACACCAATACAGTGATCAGTCCTAATAAAAAGCACTGACACTGTACTAATGGCACTGGGCAGGAAGGTGTTAACATCTGGGGCGATCAAAGGGTTAACTGTGTTTCACATTATGTGCTGTGTGTGCGCTTCACTGTAAGCACACTGCTTTGTATGGCTGTGCTATGCACCGCCATACAAAAGCAGTGTGCAGGAGCTGACAGGGATAGAACTGTATTGTTTACATACAGTTATCTCCCCTTGTCAGTAATACTTATCGATCAGCAGGTGTTGGCAAGTAATCAGCATCTGGGACCCGATGATTGACAGCTGAGCCACGAATGGCCGACACCCCTACCCAGAGCTGCAAAATCATGTATATATGCGTGACTTTGCTCACCCGTACCACCCTGTATCAGTATTTCTGCTATAGGGCCGATTGGAAGCAGTTAAAAGAACTTCACAAAGTAAACAGGATGTGTGTAGCATGTGCATTCTTTCTGCCCTGCTGCTATGCCCCTTTCTCCCATTTGCCAGCACTTCCCAGCTCTTAAAATGAAACCAGGAAGTTGGTGTGGAAATACAAAAGCTTTAGTAGTTGATGTTGTTAAGAAAGGCCATCTGACACAGTGTTTATCAACACTGTTCAGATGCAGAATAGAAAGATACAGAGTAACATTTTACTTTTGCATTGTTCACACCAGTGTGCAGAGATGTGAGTTATTATGTGCCTATTCTGCAAGGACACAAGAAAGCAATTGTTCTCTATGTGCCCTGTTCACGCCACAACACTAATATCATGTGCACATTGTTTTCTGCCAGAAATCTTCAACGTGTAGAAAACTCACTGGAATGGACATTATTATTATTATTATTACTACAAGTTTATATAGCGCCAAAGGGTTTGCTCAGCGCTGTACAATAGGGGGGACAATACATGGCACAGTACAACAACAACAACAAACAACGTACGAGGGGTAAGAGGGCCCTACTCTTACGAGCTTACATGCTGCCATACCAGCATCCTGATCACCGCCATACCCCATACCAGCATCTTGATCACAGCCATACCCCATAAAAATGTCCTAGCTGCTGCCATACCAGCGTACTGATCACTGCCATATGCCATACCAGCATCCGGCATTTTAGGATCTCAACTGATCAATTTTCAAATATATATCCCATAGTTTGTAGACTCTATAGCTTTCACACAGACTAAATAATATAAACTGTTTTGGGTTACTTTTACCCAAAAAAATGCAGAAGAATAAATTTTGGCCTAAATGTGAGAAGAAAAATTATTTGCAAAATTTTATAACAAAAACTAAGCAAAAAATGATTTTTTTCAACATTTTTGGTATTTTTTTCATTTATATAGCAAAATAACCAGTGGTGATCAAATACCACTAAAAGAAAGCTCTATCTGTCTCAAAAAAGGTTACAAATTTCATATGTTACAGTGTTGCATGACTGAGTAATTGTCACTCAGTTATCACACTCACTAAAGTGTGATAGTGCTGAAAGCTGAAAATTGGCCTGGACTAGAAGGGGGTGAAAGTGTCCGAACTGGAAGTGATTAACCACTTGCCTACCAGGCACTTATACCCCCTTATTTACCAGGCCAATTTTCAGCTTTCAGCGCTGCCGCACTTTGATTGACAATTGCGCGGTCATGCAACATTGTACCCATATGAAATTTTGATCATTTTTTTCTAACAAATAGAGCTTTCTTTTGGTGGTATTTAATCGCCACTGGGCACTTTACTTTTGTGCTATAAATAAAAAAAGTGCAAAAAATTTGAAAAAAAAAAAAAAAAGTTTATTTGTTTCTTTTATAAAATTTTTCAAACAGGTATTTTTTCTCCTTCACTGATGTGCATTGATGAGGCAGCACTGATGGGCACTGATAGGCGTCACTGATGGGCACTGATAGGCAGCACTAAAGGGCACTGACAGGCAGTACTAATGAGGTGGCACGGATAGGCGGCACTGATAGACAGCACTAATTAGGGGTCACGGATAGGCAGCACTGATATGCAGCACTGCAGCACTGATAGGCGGCACTGATAGGTGACACTGATTATGGGTACTGATAGACGGCACTGACTGGCATCACTGCTGGGCACTGACTGGCGGCACTGACTGGCACAACCCCTGGGCACTGACTGGTGGCACTGACTGGCAGCACTGCTGGGCTGCACTGGTGGGTGGCACTGGTGGGCAGCACTGGTGGGTGGGCACAGGTGGGTGGCACTGGTGGGCACAGGTGGGTGGCACTGGTGGGCACAGGTGGGTGGGCACAGGTGGGTGGCACTGCTGGGCACATGTAGGTGGCACTTCTGGGCACAGGTAGGTGGCACTGCAGAGTGGCACAGGTGGGTGCACTGCTGGGCACAGGTGGGGGCACTGCTGAGCACAGGTGAGTGCACTGCTGGGCACGGGTGGGCGGAGCTAGTGGGCGCACTGCTGGGCGGAACTTGCGGGTGTCACTGCTGGGCACCGATCATCAGGGCACTGATCATCAGTGCCCTGATGATCGGTGCCGATCCCCGCTCTGACAACTGCCGGTTCTCAGCAGTACTTTCCTCACGATCTGACAGCGTGAGGAAAGTGCAGCTGAGAACCGGCACTTGCATTTCCCTGTGATCAGCGTGTCATTGGACACCGCTGATCACGTGGTAAAAGGCCGCTGTGATTGGCCTTTTACCATCACGTGATCACCGAAGATCGCCGGGTGCGCGCCCCCTGGGGCGCGCGCAGGAGAGCGCGTTCTGGGAGGACGTCATATGACGTCCACCCAGAACTGGCCGGCCGCGGTGAAGCCGTCATTCGGCTATGCACGGTCGGCAAGAGGTTAAAGAGCAACTCCACTTTTGTTGAGAAAAAAAAAAAACATTCCCATCTGGGTGATCTACTTACATTTCAAGGATTTTAATACATTTTGTGGCAGATTCCTACCTTTTGTTATTCTGAAGTAGATGTTTGTCTGTGTCCATGTGCAGAGTGAATCTGTATGGGAGTGACTGATTAATTATCAATCAGCCGCTGCACCTGCAGCACACTAATGAGGAAAATTGCAAGGTCGGCATCCCTTTAGACATGATTTCCCATAGGGAGTATTTTATCAAAAATGTAATTTTTGTTGCAGAGGGTGCCAAAAATCTGATTTGTGTTTTAGTGCAGACTTCTAGGAAAATCAGTAAACCAATCACACAAGCAGGAAATTAAATTTTCAGGGGGCGTTCTGTACACATTTTGCAACACCTGCAACACCTCCAGGTAGGCATATTGCATTGCATTTTACAAAAAATTACAACGCTGCAGATTGAAAAGGAAAGGTCATTTTTATTAACATTCAATTACAATATGACTTGAGTCGTAAATGTAAACACTATATTATTTTATTATTTTTATTTATTATATTTTATATATATAATATTATATATTATTATTATATTTATTTTCAATTTGCTAATTTTTTCTCCATGAAAGTGGAGTTACCCTTTAATGCAAACTGACAAGTAAAAAAAGTTTGTTTAAAATAGTTTGCCTTTATTTAACACCATATTAACACTTAGTTATCCTAATCAGCTTCAATTGACTCATTCTTTCCTTTCTTGCTTCAACTTTTATCTTCCTGATGATTTTTGTATGTTTATTTCGATTTTACTAACCATTAATATTTAAACTTTTTTCATTTTTATTTGTTTTATTTATTTTTTTTAGTGTCACTTTATATCAGAATCATAATTTTGTCATTTTAAAAACGGGACAAATTATGGAATAAGATGTATACTTTTATCTACAGTTACACTATTTTACTGTGTTACTTTTTGTCTAAGGATTGCATTAAAATATTTGCAGACAATATCACGAAAAGAAATCCTTGTTTGTCCTAATAAAGATAATATACAGTGTATACATATATCACTTGTATCTTAAATATTGACAAAAGGTATTGCTGAATAAAAAGGTCCATAGCAGAAAAGTATACTATGATCTGATCCACAAGGAGTGTACGGGTGTGAAAGATGAAATGGTTAAAGAGATAAAACAATATGAAATGTATTTATTTTTTTTTTTTGGTTTTTTGCCTTGACATACATTCCAATTTTACTGCCAATAATTTAAGCAAGGATGAACAGTAATAGAAAAATAGGGAGAGCTCCAAAAGTGTGCTTATTCATTTTAGGGAAGCACTGCTAATCACTATTCTAATGACTTTTTTGCTAACATACACAGTATGCTTTTTCAATACACTTCAGCATAACTAAAATCAAGTGTATAAAAGCATCCCCAAGCTTCATTTTAAGATTATCACAGATCACAGTCATTTTTTCTTTGATTAAACCATGTTGATGGTTAATTTAAGTGTACATTTTGTAGAATCAAGCCTCCTCCCCAGAAAAGCTTCTCTTTAGGGCTGAAAAAATGGTAAACTTATCATTTTTAATGCAGTTTGTGTGGATATGAAATGTTGCTAGGATTCCAAAAGACATGGGAAACCACTGAACAATCATTAGATAGAAAAGATACAAAACATACAGCACACCACCAAAATGGACCTCTGTGTGTCTCATTCCTTGTGCATACTTGTAACTACCTATGCAGCAGCCAAGCAACATTTTTCACTTCTCATCAACAAACCCATTGATCACCACGTCAGCACTTACATGTTGATCACATGACTTTGTTAGAAATCCAATCCATAAGTTATTTTAAGCACATTTCAGCTAAACATTCTAAATGTTTTGGGCTAAATGGGTATTTTCATTGCAAACAGTGGGGCGGCACAGTGGCTTAGTGGTTATCACATCTGACTTGCAGTAAATGGGTCATGGGTTTGATTCCCAACCATGGCGCCTCCTGCATGGAGCTTGCATGTTCTCCCTGTGCTTGCGTGGGTTTCTTCCGGGTACTCCGGTTTCCTTTCACACTCCAAAGACATGCTGGTAGGTTAATTGGCCCCTGTCTAAATTGGCCCTAGTATGTGTATGAATGTGAGTTAGGGACCTTAGATTGTACACCCCTTGAGGGTTAGGGACTGATGTGAATGTTCAATATATATGTGTAAATTGACAGCGCTATATAAGTACCTGATATAAATAACATAAAGGTTAAACATATTTTGCCTTTCTATATTCCTTGCATTAAGGAGAATTTTTTTCGGCATCAGTATCATCCCCTCAGCCCCCTTATACTTACCTGAGCACTTATTCGATACAGTACTGTGCTCATCTGCACCTCTGA